GCCACATCGCCCAGTATTGTCTCCAACCGAGTGGTGGCTATTGGTATCACTTCACCGCCTCCGCTGCCGTCGGTGTCCGCAATGGGATAATTGAAACGATGCATAACACCGACCAACACTTGGCCGTCGAAACCGGGCACCGATAGCCGCGTGGGACCCGTTATCCGCTTGTGCTCGACCTCAATGTCGGACAGCGTTGACGGCAAATAGAAAGACCAGTTGACGGCCATTGAGTGCCGGTATATGTGACCAGAATTAAAGAGTCTAATGAACGCTTCGGTGACCGCCGGCGACATCTCCTCCGACAGCGTATAGTATTGTCGCTCAAAGTCCAGACTCACGCCCAACCTCTGGATCTGTTCGTTGATATCGCGCTCCCTCTCGGCCTTCCACTGCCTTATGTGCGCCAAAAACTCTTCGGCGCTCATCTCGTGTCGGGTTTTGCCACAGCTTTTGTTGATATACTTCTCAACCACCATCTGAGTGGCAATACCCGCGTGATCCAGACCGGGGGTCCACCGGCACGGGTGGCCACGCATACGATGATAGCGGCAAATGGTATCTTCGATGGCGAGTGTCATCGCGTGGCCTACGGGTAGATGTAATGTGGGAACCAATTAGTGATACAATCTCTCACTCCTGAAGAGACAATCAATACCTAAATGAAGATTTCCGGTGATGTTTGGCGGCGGCAGTAATAGCGTGAACGGGGGTCGGCCTGAGTGGCCATCGGCGGCGGTGGCGGCGCCGGTATCTCTGTGTTGGCCAAAAACGCGATCATTTCTTCGCCAAAAGTCGGACCAAAACTGTTCGCAACTCTTCAGCGGATATTTACCGCCAAAATCTGCGGACAAATACCGGTTGAGTTCAGCCGTGGCCTCGGATTCGCGGCCAGAGGACAGGTGTCGGCGGCACTGGTGTTGCCCTAACCTATTGGCGAGTGTCACGTGACAAACACGTGCCCATCGCCCGCACCGCCTATGGTAGTCATGGCTACGGCCTCCCGATATGAGTCTCATCTAATTTTTTAAACACAATTACTTTTAATTTAGTTTTAAATGATGTAATCGTTTGCATAAAACTGTTTGTGAAATATATTTGTTGTAAACATTGGGTCACGTGTTTACCATACCTCTAGCACTTGAGTACTGTTCATAAATGATGTGATGGTTAATGTTTTGCCACTTTTTGTTGCACCCCTTTTGTTCGTATTGATGTTGTATTTTGTTTATTTGATTTAATTAATTTAATCATGTTTGTTTTAATTATGTTTGAATCTTGTTTGATTTTATAGTTTGAAATCATTTCGATGTTTATATAATTTACTTTAATATTCATTATTTATCTTTTATTTTATATTTTTGTTAAATTTATTTATATAAAAAAGTTTATGTTTATATTCAATTATTTTGCTGTTTAACTGATAAATTACAAGTTTATAGTTATAGTTTATAAGTTTACATGATTATGGTAATAATAAAGTCACTCATGATGTTTTATCAGATTAAGCTTTATCTCATGTTTATATTAAGAGTAGTATTGCCAGTATCGTAGATATAAATAAACATTATAAATTGATTTGTAATTCCAATTATTACTATATTTATAATAATCATTAATGCATATAATTTATTAAATTATCTGGATAATTTCCCAAACAGTTTAAGTAAATGAAATATTTGCATTTTAATACAGTGACAAATCTATGTAGAAGTGAGAGAAACAAAATAATGACAGGTGGCCACACTATATATCCTATCAAATCAATAAATAATGAATTAGACATTTATGCGATACATGTCGTGACAGTCAGTGAACTACCAAAAAATGTTTGTCAAACACACAATTAAGTTAACACTAATCCTATGGGCCGTTAGCCTATGGGCGCCGCCGCTCTGCCAGTGCTATACGGGTGTGGCCGATGAGGTGCGGCAGTTGTCTGGCCTTACATTTCCGATCAATTATCGGCACTATTCTGGTTACCTGAACGCCACGGATGACCGACACTTACACTACTGGTTCTTTGAGAGCCAATCGTCACCCAAATCAGATCCGGTGGTTCTGTGGCTGAATGGCGGACCCGGATGTTCCAGCGTATTGGGCGCACTCACTGGTAAAACTTAAACAGCATAGTACAATTAAAATTATAACCATGATAATAAAATCTCAATTCCCCCCCCCCTTTACATAAAGAACAAGGTCCATTGCACGTGGACCCGAACGGGCGGCAACTGTACCCGAATGAAAACAGTTGGAACCGGGCGGCCAACATGCTATTCCTGGAGGCGCCGGCAGGGGTGGGCTTTTCGTACAAAGTGGACGCCAAGTACGCCACCGACGACGACCAGGTGGCCAGAGATAACGTGGCGGCCATTGAGTGCTTCTACCGCAAGTTCCCGCAGTTTAAGACAAATGACTTTTACGTAATGGGCGAGAGCTATGCCGGCGTATATGTGCCCACACTGTCCGTACAGATACTGAACGCTATTACCAATGCCTCGGCCGCACCGGTTGGTAGTGGCGGTGGTTTGGCCGGCCTTAACTTCAAGGGCTTCGCGGTGGGCAACGGTTACCTTGATCAAAAAATGTTGGGCAACTCTCTGCTGACATTTGGCTACTATCACGGCCTATACGACCACTACGTGTGGGACGCGTTGGTCAATAGTTGTTGTCCGCCGATGGCTAACCTGTCGACGGCGTCAACAGTGGCCGCCAGTCGATGCGATTTTGTCGGCAACCGGAGCGCCGCCTGCGTGTCGGCCGTCAGTCGGGCCTCCGGTTTCATACGAGAGCCCGGACTCAACGTGTATAACCTGTACGCCGACTGTTGGTCACCGTCGGACAGCACCTTCGGTGCGATACTGACCGCCAGTGTTGCCAACACAACCGGGAAGTATTCGCGTGAAACGTTTGACCGCCGGTTAATGATCGGTACGTTAAACCTGACGGACGAGCGCCCGCTGTTGGACAAGCTATCGGTGACTCCGCCTTGTATTGACGCCAGTTTTGTCGAGCGCTGGATCAACGACCCGGCCGTCCGCCGCGATCTACACATACCCGATGCGGTGCAACAGTGGACCAGTTGTAGCCTACCGGTGATGGCCGGCTATCGTAATATTTACACCTCGATGAAAGCGCAGGTGCAGCAGCTCCTGGCGTCGGACAGGCATTTAAAAGGGCTGATATATAATGGAGACGTGGATATGGCGTGTAATTTTTTGGGTGATGAATGGTAGAGTAACCACCGTGCGCTGTAAAGTAATTGTACCGGGTATTTTTTTAAATAACCATGTTTATTTTTAGGTTTGTAGAGGACCTGAACCGAACACTGGTCAGCGAGTATAAGGCCTGGTATTATAATAAACAAATCGCCGGCTTTTATAAAGTGTACGATAGGCTGGCGTTCGCGACGGTTCGCGGCTCCGGTCATATGGTGCCCACCGATAAGGCCGGCGCCGCACTCGAGATGTTTGAAAAGTTTATTAATTCACCCGCGAGTGCATTGAAATTACATTAATAACCATGTGAACCAATAATTGCAGTAAATTATGGTTTTAAATGTGCATGATTTACAGATTTGTTTCATTGTGTAAATATGATTATGTAAAGTTTGCATGTAGACTTTACATCTCGTTTGTAATACACTGTTACATTTAATTAAAATTTTAATAAACTACATGAGTTATTAAAAATAAAATGTTTTATTATAGTGATCTCTCTTCAGGAGAGAGAGAGAGAGAGAGAGATCACTATAATAAAACATTTTATTTTTAATA